ACCTCGAAGAAGAGGCCACCCAGCAGGCACATAACCCAAAAGAGTTACTTTACTTTATTCAAGCAAGATTCAGATGGGGTAGCCATGTTGGTCTGAAGCAGCAGAACAAAGTTTGAGTCCAGTGGCACCCTGAAGACCAACAAAGTTTTATTCAAAGTATAAGCTTTTGTGTGCAGGCACACTTCATCAGATACACTGAAGCAGAACTTCCTCAACCATTACATATAGGTGGAGGGGGGGGCGGTTAGTTTCCGGGAAGGGTTAGTCAGAGTCAAGATGCATAAGTAACTGGGCGATAAGTAACTAAGACTGGATTAAAGCAGTTGGTAAAACCTGTGGATGGCAGCAAATACAAGAGTTAACAGATATGAGAACTAAGTTTGACCCCAATGGTACCTCCCAAACCAATAAAGTTCAATTCTGGGTAAAAGCCAGAACTGAGAAACTTAGCACATGTAGATGCATACTCCTTTAGATCCATTGAAACAGATTTCCTCAAGTGTTACATTGGGAGGGGGGGTTTAGTTGCCAGGAAGGACTAATTAGAGTCAAGATGCGTAAGTACAGCTAAGATTGAAATAATCCGGTTGGTAATGTCTGTGAGTAGCAGCAAATTAGCATACAGATAATAAAGGACCTAACAACAGATGTGAGAACTAAGTTTGAGTCCACTGGCACCATTATAACCAACAAAGTTTAATTTGGGGTATAAATGAGAACTCTGTGATTTAGCATGTGTAGTGAGAGAAGAACCCGATACCTCTGTTAAACCTGGGGGTTCCATTGTCCTGAGTGTTGTGATAACTTGTAATTCAGCAATCTCCCATTCCAATCTGGTTATGAAACTCCTTTGCAGTAAAACAGCTAATTTGAGGTCCCCGCTGTGTACCCTGGGAGGTTGAAATGTTCTCCTACAGGTTTCTCAGTTTTTTTATTCTTGACGTCAGATTTATGTCTATTTATCCTTTGCTGTAGGATTTGCCCTGTGTAACGGAAGGGCATTGTTGGCACTTAATGGCATTTACAGTGTTAGAAGAGAAGCAAGTGAATGAACCTAAGATGGTATAGTTGATGTGGGTAGGTCCAGTGATTGTGTTGTCTGGGAGTACGTGGCAGAAAATTTGGCATTTGGGTTCATTGCAAGCTCTGGTACCAGTGTCCATGTTCAAATGAGATGTTGTATTATTGTGGGTGAGGAGTAGTTTGAAATGTGTGGGGGGGGGCTGCCTGTAAGCAAGAAAAGGTCTACACCCTCAGTACTTGTGAAAGAAAGCTGTCATTATCCAGTAGAGATTTCAAGTTGCTGACGATGCGTTGAACCATTTTGAATTGAGAGCTATATGTGACCACTAGTGGTGTCCTATTATTCAAGCAGAATCTCTGACCAGTTTGGAGGGTGGGGGATCCACACTTGCAACCATTCATCAATATATGGACTTGCGTGGTAAGGTAGGCAAAAGAAAATGGATGCCCATCAGTGGTGTGGGCCCCAACGCCCATACCCAAACTTCAGTTTGAGCCTTGGAATCCATCCTCCAAGTTTTCCCCATGCTTTTGGTTTTGTTTGTAAAGGGGGGATGAGCCAGGATGAGTAAAACTAGTTATATAGAGATAGATGACACAAGGGGAAAAAACGATTATGTCATTCACCACAGGATTATCAATCAAACCTCCAATTTAGGAGAAACCTTCAGGGCTGTGTTTCTACAGGCCCATTAAAGCAGCAGCAAGAAGGCATGTCTTCCTGATTCCTAGATCAGCCTTGCAAACAATTTTAGAAAAACAGATCCACCCACGTGTATTTAAACTAGTCCATTTGCCTACAATCAGACATTTTATGCCTGTTTATGCCTGCAATAATCACCTTTAACTGATAGCCTAATATGATTTTAGTGCACTATAGGCAAATAGGCAAAAAATCACCTGCAGTGTAGTTCTACATGCTCCACTTTGCACCCATGGATTGCATAGGATGTTAAAACTACAAAAGGTTGCATTGTTTGAAATCTGCAACATAGTGGGTTGAATCTCATGGATCTGTTCCACTTATGGTGGTGCTTTGCCCTAACACAAGAGCCCCTTGCATTGGGAAAGCCCCACCATTAGTAAAATGGATGCACAGGATTCAATCTATGGTACTTACTCAAACCCTGACCATCAGAAAGGAGGAAGAGGAGGAGGAGAATTGGTTTTATACCCTGCCCTTCACTCAGAGTCTCAGGAGCAGCTTACAATCACCTTCCCTCCCTCTCCCCACAACAGACACCCTGTGAGGTAGGTGGAGCTGAGAGAGTTCTGAGAAAACTGTGACTGATCCAAGGTCACCTAGCTGGCTGTATGTGCAGGAGTGGGGAATCAAACCCAGTTCTCCACATTAGAATCCACCGCTCTTAACCACTACACCAAACTGCATTCATTTAATTCTTCAAAGGGACACATCAA